AAGCTTTTAATTAAGAAAATTTTAATTTTTGCGCACAGCTTGGAACAAGCTGTGTGCGTCCAATTCAAGTTATGTCGGAATTAGTTTTTATGTGTCTAAATCCGTTTCTTAACTTAATCATCTATTAATTTATTTACGACTTGAAATCAGCAAATACAAGTATACCTACCTAAAGGATTCCTAATATATTCACAGACTTATTTAAAAGTTTCAAACCATAATATTCTTTCCACACAAACAGTTTATCACTATTCGGTAGAGCAAGGTCAACTGTCAACTTTGACACATTTTTCGATGATCTCTCTGGATGAGGCGCACTGTCTCTCTTTGGATCTCAACATTTTCCCGCCAGCGCCAGATGGCCCAGACCTAGTGTTTTGGCAATAGTTTGGCGCGCAAAGGTATGACGTCACTATTTCAACCATCAATGAATGCGTGGAACTAACTTACTAAGACAAAGCTTAATATAAAGGAAAAACTAAAGAGGTGTCGGAATTACCCAAGATGTCGGAATATACCGCGTACCCTATAATTGAAGCTCCAAAGCCTGTAATTGGAATCCTGAATATCAGGCCGAGTTTTCCAAAAAAGATATGTAAAAATTATCATTTGATGAATGATTTTCAAAATTGCAAGTGAAAAGACAGGATGGGAAAAGTTTTTTTTTCTGAAATGTCACTGCTCTAATAGTATTGTATAATTTAAGTAGGTATGAAATTTTGCAGCTTCAATGTCATAATTTTTTGTTTAATTAAAAAAATTGCTGTTTGCACTTAACAAACATGTTTCATGAAATTTTCAACTTCCGCAACCCGCAGGAGCAGGACCCCAGTATATATGCTTCAATGCTCCCACCTCCAGCCAAAATAACATGCATAATGTAATTACAATAAGTCATAAAAATCAAAAGACATAAGAACAGTCATACATAAGAATATGGATCAAAAAGCGCACTACATTACAGGATTGGAATTTCCCCACTTGTTATTGAAATCTTGCGGCTCAAATGTGAGGAATTTTTAATACATTTGGAATCTTGCGGGAAGTTGCGGCCTTGTCATGCACTTTTTTGACAATTAAATAGGAGGTACCGGGTAATTCATCTGGTGGAAAGGAAATCTCGCAGTTCCGGAAACAGCGGGAAAGCTTTAGTTGCGGCCCTAAAGGTTTTTGATGCTTGCCGCATTATACCTTCCACCGCCGTGACAATTGATACACTGAGGCTGACTGAGCCAAACAGAAACTGCCGTGGATGGTGGATCCTCTACCGCGCGTGGCCTTGGTGGGTCTTGGTTTGGAATCCGATACTGAGTTGCCAATTATATTCACTATGGTAGTTGTTTATCTGAACTTGACAAATTTTTGCAATGAATGTTTAAAAAAAATTATATTAACTTCCACAAAAAATTCTCAGTTTCTGACAATTTGGCCAATACCAACAAACATTTGGATATGACACTTTATAAGTCTAATTTTAATTGTATAGTTAAAGCTGAAGGCATGCAACTTCCAAGTGATTACTTTATAGAAGCTTAGCATACCCATATGGCATATATATATATATATATGTCATATGTGTTTGAAGCCTTCAGGAAGTTCATTGTTTTTGCCTCAAATAATGGCTTTCAATAGAAAAACTGGTCTTGGTGGATTGGAAATAATATATGAACCATCATTTTTACAATTCTATCCTGGTCCAAGGGCTATAGGATCAGGTGAAATTGACCACAAGCATAGGTTCTTCTGTTTAATTCCCCTGAGGCTTCTGCCTGATTGTCCAGCTCAGATTTCACCCTTGTTCCTGTTCATAATATTTTCCCCCCTAGAGTTCCACTCTGCATACAATTTAATAGGAATTAGGTAGATAAAAAAATAACCATGTACCTGCTTAGCTGTAACTAGAGCTGTCATGTCATTTTTTGAACTATAGAAATACTACTTAATATATTATTTCCAATCTCAGTTTTAATGAAGCTTCAAATTTTGCCACAAGAAGTAAAATTCATCTATTATCTATTAAATAAAATTTCAAAGCTGCATGATTTTAGAAAAAGGAAGATTTTACAATTTGGACTGAATATTGATTTACTACTCTTCATAGAAATTTTTTGTCTTGTTTTTCTCTGCTCTAAATTACTGAATGCTTAAATCTTACTCTCGTGTAGTTTCTAAGGTTTAATTAATTGGAGCAAGAGCCATGAACTTATTTGTTTCTGCTTGTACAGAGATAGTGAGTCTGCATTAGCATATATAGATATTTATCTAAAAGTATTATCATGCAGAGAGATACTAATTAAAATTTTATCATCCTCCAGACTGTACATTAATGGCCTTTTAAGTCAAGATATTGGTTTCTTATCATGCTTTCTATCAAGACACATTCACCTTAAATTGGCATCTATGTTTAGTGGTAAATTCAATCACAAACAATTGATCAATCTATTATATAACACTGCATGGATCCCATATCTGCCACCCATTTTAATTGGTATGTTACTTGCATTTATCATAATGGGCACCAAGTCCATGGTGACTGAAGTTAGCCACTATCATACCTTGCTATCTTAAAAGCTGTCAACTTGATGTTTTCAATCCATTGTTTTGTCTTACTTCACAGTCTGTATCATGCCATCAGTATAGACCAGTGGTTCCCAAACTTTTTCAGGCTGGCGCCCCCTTTGGCTCCCTAGTGAATTTGTAGCGCCCCCCACAGACACATATAAAATCATGCGCCTTTTTCTTGAAATTTAGTACGCTGCAATTCTAACAGATAAAGGTTAAACACAAATGTGTATTTCATAAATAGGACCCTTTTAGTGAACCAATGTGTTTTTCATCTGTTTTAACCGTTCCAGCACTAGAAACCTAGGAGGTCTCGGGCAAATTTACGGCCGGACTCGTGGCCGGTCTTACGACCAATCTCCAAATTCAGTTATCAAGGAATATCACCCAAACTAATGAACGCATCTCAATAAAACTTGGAACATGTATTCATCAAAACTTAACGGTGACGTTTAGCTTGCGAAAAATTTTTAATATCACCTTCATTCGTGAGTTATATTGCAATACAGGCCGAAATTCGCAGTGATCAAAGAATTTCTTCCAAACTACCGAACAGATTTGAACGAAATTTTGAATATATATTCCTAACTACCAAATGGTGTTTTTTAGATTGAAAAAAATTTATTTTACCGTCGTTTGCGAGATTTTTTTCATTTTACCGTCATTCTTCATTTCACACTTCCTTATTCGCTTTCGTTCGCAAGTTATACAGATAAATAGGAGATACGATCGGCTTTTCTACTGGCTGGTTTGACCAAGAGTCGTTTACGTATAGCCGTATAACTCCCAAATGAAGGCAAACGAAAAAATTGTAACGAGCTAGGTATTAAAATACTAAATTTCATTCAAATCTGTTCAGTAGTTTGCAAGAAATTTCTTGATTACTGCGAATTTAAGCACGTATTGCTGTTTAAATCACGAATGAAACTCACGAACGAAGGCACAATCAAAAAAATTTTCACGAGCTAAACATCACCGTTTGGTAGTTAGGACTGTAAATTCAAAATTTCGTCCGAATCTGTTCAGTAATTTGGAAGAAATTCCTTGATCACTGTGAATTCGGCCCGTACGTATTGCCATATAAATATGGCAAAAACAATTGATGGCAAAATAGAAAAATTTTGACGAGCTTTAGTGCTTTACATTACTGTTAGGTCCTAATGAATACGTGTACCAAGTTTCATCCAGTTAAGTTTATTAGTTTGAGAGGTGTTCCTTGATCATTGAATTTGGAAATTGGCCGTGAGTCTGGCCGCGAGTCCGGCCGTTAATTTGTCGGAGATGTAAACCCAGGAGAGGTTAAAAAAATATAACTCAGTACTCACTTCAGTGAGTGACAGAGAGCGCATTTTCTCGTCGACTAAAACGTAAAGTCACGGACTGACAGACAGGCGGACAGACGGACAGACATGGCGAGCACAATAGTGCATTTTTTTCATGAATGAGTAAATGCGCTAAAAACAGATCTGGGTGAAAAAACCATCGCTGGGAGTCATGATGCGCTGCACGTGTTGTGCACAAATCGTCAAACAAACATTCAAACGTCTGACTTCGACTTCCGAATGCCGCCCCCCTATCGCCCCCCAAACGCCCTCTTCTTCTTTATCGCCCCCCAAAATCTTTCCATCGCCCCTAGGGGGGCGATATCGCCCACTTTGGGAACCACTGGTATAGACCATACTCATTTATTTTTTAACCTTTTGTTACGTAAGAAATTTTTGTTTGCATGCATCAAAAGTGTGCATTACGTAGGATGGTTTTTCCATTGTGTCCTCTGTACTCCTAGCTCATAATTTTTGCCTATAGTTGCCAAAAGAGTAGGTACACCAGTGCAAGTGCTATGAGGTAGTCTGAGCTTTATGTACAATAAATGAATCCTGGAAAATGTATCCATCCCAAGTGTGGTTCAAACTTGAGATCCAGCAGAGAAAATTTTAGGTGCATTGTCAAGATTGCTCTTTCTGGCATGAAATTTTGCCATTATTATTGAGGAATTGTTCCCAGAACCAGCTTAGACTTCTAGATTTGATGCCAAATATGCTTATCAAGACACAAAGGTTTTCCAATCTGGGCTATGGGCATGGATGAAGTTGTCCCAGCCACAAGTGGTTTAGCTTCTCTGCAGGTGGTTGCTGCCTAAGGTTTCAAAATGGTTTCTAGCTCCATCATTAAAGCTATAAATCATTGCTGCTTCCTCTTGCTGTCACTAATAATACCTGATTTTCCCTGTACTCATGTTCTCAATGTAATATTGTAGTTATGTAGTATTATGTAGTAGTAGTGTGATTAGGAGCATGTTGTCCCTAGCACACATTTATATTCATCCAATCAAATTTGTAGTAAAATTTGTATTATTTAAGCTTGTAAGATTATAGTGCATTAATTGCAATACTGCTAAGATCATGTGGGGCCTGGCTTGATAACATTTTTCTTGACAGCTTGGTGAAGTCTGCAGAGAAGCTCTTTGATAAGGCCAAGCTCAGGGAGAAAGAGGGGGATGAGGAGGATGCATACCTATTATACATGCGATACTTCACTGTTGCCCAGGTGAGTCATAGCTCCTGTGCTGCAGTGCATGCACCTTTCAAGCTGGTAAATTTGTTTTATTTATTGTGAAGTGACAAAAGGAAGAAAGTAGATGAATTGAATGTGTGAAGTGATGGTGGAGTTAAAGAAGGAAGCTAAAAGAAGTAAATGTGTTAACTGTTTTGTGATGACCAATAGGAGTACAGACTAGTTGATTCTGTGCAACATTGTTAATGATAATGACATATACAAATAAGCACAATCATAGTGACTCACAAGAGGCTAATACACAAGAATACAGCACCCAACACAGCTCTTGTGTGTGCAGGAGGTGAGAGGGCGCAACGAGTACAAGGCTGACAGGAAGTTTTATGACGGCCTTCTCAGCACCAGGGAGCTGCCACAGCTCATGGCTAAGGCAGAGCAGCTCAGCTCCAGCCTGGAGAAGAGGTCAGTGGATGGGGCAAGCAAGAGGGAGTGGCTGTAAGGAGGGTGATGGAAAGGGGGGCTTGGAGGAGATTTGTGGCTGTAAGGGGGGAGGTTGTGGAGGTTTATGCCTGTAGGGGGTGGAAAAGGCAGTGAAAAAGGTAGTGGATGCTGGGATGATTAGCTGTGAGGGGTTGAGGAGTTTGTGTCCTGAATGCATCACAGCCCTATGTGTCCCCAGATACCAGCTGCTGCAGGAGGCACGGGAGGCGGAGCACCGCAGCATCGTGGAGGCCCCTGGACCCGAGCCATCCCAACAGAGCAACGCTGAGCCTCCGGTGATGACCAATGGTGAGGGAAGAGAACTGCAGTGCATGTCCCATGACACCCCCGTGCCCGCAGGGTGTAGTGAGGAGGAGGACCTGGTGAGCGTGGCAGCAGTGTTCGCCCTCAGCACCCGGCGGGTGACAAGTTTCTTGCTGGTGGACGTGCGCCCACAAGACCACTACGCTGCCTCCCACACCCGCCTCCCCCAGAGCCTCAACATCCCCCAGCACATCCTCAACAAGGGGTGAGTGCTTCCTCATCCGCCTTGGTTCCCCCAGCTCGTGGGGGACGGCAAGGGACGTTGCTCTGGTCACCCTGACCAGGTCAGGAGTAGGTATACTCAGTGACTGACAAACCTGCGGCACACGAGCGCACATCTTCTAAGGCAGACAAGCATTTATTATAAATTTCAACCATAATTAATAAAATGATACTTAAACTACATTTTTTTCAAAATTTGTGCTGACTGAATGGCAGTGTTATGATGAGTACTGGTCAATAAATTAATGTCAAAATTAATGCTGTACATGGCAGCTTTAAGGCTTCGACTTGCTGCCTGTCCATGCAAGCTCCGTTGTGTCCCAGATGTGCTCGTGTAGGTAACGAGCCAAGCTTTATTATCACTTTCTGTATAATTACGCTTCCTGTGTGTACGTCTTACCGTGGACGTACTTGCTACCTACCCGGCCTATAGCGCCCGTCTCCTCGTCCTATTTGTTATTTGCCAGCTCCTGTTGTGACGGTTAGGTTTCGAGGTATAAGCTGGGCCCATTGACATGTTCATTTCTGTTGCCGTTCAAATTGGAATTATTGAATATAATTGTTGACTTACAAAACTAAACATCTCATTGCGTTTCTATGCATTTACATTGTTGGTTCTTCATTTCAGCAATAAATTTTCTCTTTGCCTCCAAGATTTTTTGGCGTACTCAGAGAGCGTGCAATGGGTTCTGGATAAAAGTGATTGCAGCAGTTACATTTGCGTTATTTGCTCACATAAAACACGCTGACGTCAGGTTGACGGGCGTGGGCGTTGGGGAACATCTGGACGCCGCGGCCCGCATGCTGTGGGGGACGCGGGGACGCGTCGACAAGATCTTCATTATGGACTGGAACACCGAGGCCCTCCCCTTCCCCGCCCCCATCACCGTCCTCATCGACGCCATCACTGAGGTGAAGCATGCAGTGTTGCTGGGGTGTGACTGTTGCTGGGGTGTGACTGTTGCTGGGGTGTGACTGTTGCTGGGGTTTGACTGTTGCTGGGGTGTGACTGTTGCTGGGGTGTGACTGTTGCTGGGGTGTGACTGTTGCTGGGGTGTGACTGTTGCTGGGGTGTGACTGTTGCTGGGGTGTGACTGTCACCGTCTGCGTTATGTATGGCGTGCAGTAAGCCACACGAGTGCAGGAGTTGCAGGAGTTTGTTGCTGCGTGCAGTGGGACCCGAGCACGCGGTACACGTGCAGGAGGCCGCTGGTGGTGCAGGGAGGCTACGAGCTCCTGGCGCTGTCCTACCCTCACATGGTGACGGCTCCCTGCCCCTCACCTCCCTACGGCGGCACCCCCACACCTGCACCCCCGCCAACACGTCAGTAACATGCTGCGGTGTTTGCTTCATGTCATCGTAACTTGCTTAGCCTGACCACACCGCGCATTGTTGCGGCATGCACCCTCTCACCTCCCTTACCTCCCCTTATCCCCCTCATCCCTGCACCCCGCTACTTTTATCCTTCATTCCCCCCCTTCGCTCTCTTCAACCCTTTCACTCCCTAAACCTCTCAACCCTCTCATCCCCATCACGTCTCCTTAACCCCTCACCCTCTCACCCACATCGCACCTCCTCACCCCACTCATCCCCTGATTCCTCTACTTTTACCCTTCACCCCTCCCTCACTTATCACCCCTTTCACTCCCTCAACCCCTCTCATCCCCTTCGCGTCTCCTCACCTCCTCCCCCCTCCTCACTCCCCTCACTCCCTCACCCCCTCTTGCCAATGTTGCAGTGAACTTCGACTATCCTGATCTGGACACAACATTCCTCACGTCCCCGCCCCCCGCCGCCCTCCCTTCCCCTGATGACGGGGGACCAGGAGGGGCGAGGTCCCCCCAGGTCACCCCCCGCTCCCTGGACGCCATCTCGCACCCTGTGTACCCCAGCGCGGGGGCCAAGCCCCCCACCTTCAGCAGGAGCCTCAAGCCCCCCCAACACAGTTAGTGCAAACAGTTATAATAATGATTGTGATGCTACTATAGTGATAAGACTTATTGCCAAGTGCATCACATTGCTTGATATGCTATCTATTGTATAGTCTGTCTCAACGTTCCCAATGATACATCAGCCTAATTAATTTTAAACCTAATAATAAGTGTGAAGAACATGTCTCTCTACTCCACATAGCCTCCATCTTTATGATAGAAATATTCTTAGTTTAATGTGTAGTGAACTTCTCTGGTCATTGATGTGTCTTTTTGATGCCTAGAACTTCCTATTTGCAGTCCTAAAAGTGCCCAACGGTGCGGTCTACAACGGCGTGGGGCCCGTAGACCCGCCAGGACCTCCCAGCCTCCCTCCTGCAGACCCCGCCTACCCCAGCACTAGGGGCTCGCCCTCCAAGGGCGCCACTTCGCTGCTCACGTCTATGAATGGTCAACCCCTTACCAAGGGCTACGATGTGGGCACTAAGAGCAATGACATGGGCCCTGGTAGGGGCGTCGTGCCACAGGTTCCCAGCCGGGCGCTGAAGCCCCTAGAGCTGCTGGACAGCCTGGCGGGGGACAACATGATCGAGGAGAAGCGCCTGCTGGAGGCGACGCTCGCCTGCGATCAGGTGGGTGCTGGGGGTTGGAGGCTGATTGATGCATGCTGGGGCGGGGGGAGGGGGTGCATTCCGGGGTGGTGGTATCGCTCTTGGTCGTGGGGGTACAGTGGAATGAGCTCGAGTGTTGATGTGACTGTGATGGCAATAAGCCCCATTAGTGACGCAGGCTACGGGTTGATGTCACACGTTGTACCGTAACAATGTGCTGTAACAATGTGCTGTAACAATGTACCATAATAATGTGCTGTAACAATGTACCGTAACAATGTGCTGTAACAATGTACCATAATAATGTGCTGTGACAATGTACTGTAACGCTCGTGTTGTTACAGAGGACGCTGGACAAGCTGGGGGAGCTGGAGCGTGGCGGGGCGGACGCAGCGACGACGGCCTCACTACGGCAGGAGCTGCGCGCCCTGCAGGCAGACAGGACCCACATGGTCAGCCGCTACCAGTTATTTCGTGTTGAATAATGTTGACTCGGCAACATAAGCTCGTAACCAACGTTGCTTCAATGAAATCAACTTTTGGTTAATGTTGATATAACGTTTCAACTAAATACTTTAAATCAACGTTAATTAAAAGTCATATGCACGCAGCGATAAGCTCTTCTATTCTCTGAAGTGTTTACATTTTTCTTTATAATGCTTTTCTTACTAAGTAGTTCTTATTAGTTATAGGAAACGCCTGGATAGATTTCATTGACTATTTCAGCTCAAATCAAACGTATATTATTTATAATGTATTTCTCTGAATGCATTATTTCATTTGTTAAAAATTTATGGAGCAAAGTTATTCATGTTGTGCGTTGCTGTGTACAGGAGGCAGCGCTGGAGAGGATCTCTCGAGAGAATAAAGACTTGTGGGCTCGCATCAACTCCTTCGTCAGTGACGACAACAACAACAGTAACAACAACAATAACAGTAGCGACAACAACAGTAACAATAACAACAATGTCGGTAGCGGCGGGTCCAGCGCAGCAATAAACGGCCACGTGCGCCACACACGCGGCGACGTGTCCGCTGACGTGCCACACAGCATCGACGAGAAGGTACGTGGTGGCGCGTGTCCCGACACACGTGCCACACAGCATCGACGAGAAGGTACGTGGTGGCGCGTGTCCCGACACACGTGCCACACAGCATCGACGAGAAGGCACGTGGTGACGCGTGCCCAATGCTCAATTCTTGGACCTAAGCTAAGAATATACGAGTTTGCAAGAAAAAATTACTTCTTTATATTCACACATTGCTGTGTGCATGGGGGAGAAGGCCAGCGGTCGGCCGGATCACGTCGGCTCCGGCCGACCGTTGGCCATATACCGGCCGCCTAAAAACCAGCGATGTTCTTCCGGAGATTTCCATGGGGAAGGGTCATTGAAGGGAGTTCACGAAGTATTCCGGAGAATGGCGCTCTTGCTGTTGCTAGCCCTGGAGTTTTGCAATGGAGGCCGCGATGCTGTACATAGTAACACCCCAACTTTTACAGACATAGCAAGTTCCCCCCTGCTGCAGTATAAAATCCCTCCTCCTGCTGCAGGTGCTGCAAGAGGTGCTGGCAACCAAGAAGGCGACCCACGAGCAGCTGATGGCACAGGTGCAGGAGTTGCGACGCCTACGCAAGCTAAAGGAACAACAGATAGACAGAGCAGCTCCACAACAGGAGACTAAGCCCGGCAGGTTGGGAAGGGAATCCAAGTACTGCTAGAGATATGGATATACGAAGGGCATCTCCGGTGATTGTGGGCTGCGGAAAGCTTGGGGTTCTAAGTGTGCCTGAAGGTCGTTTGGGGTGGAGGAACCTCTGAGGATCGTTTGGGGTGGAGGAAGGTACAAAGGGCGTGTGTGGCACCTTAGGGCTGTTGGGGAAAAAGAGCAAGAGTTGACCGGATGATATGTTGACCGGAGCTAAATGGAGATATTTTAAACCGAGATATTATTCATTAGTTGTATTAGTATTACCCATGCGAGGAAGGTAGTGTGCTGAAATCTTCAAAGACGAGCTAATGTTTGTTGCTCCCCATGAGGAATGAACTGCCCTGCTGATATAATTGTTGGTTATTAATATAAATTATCGATTTATTAACAGTTTAATTTTGTTTATTTGTATTTTGTGTCACCACATCTTGCCGACGTTTCCCCCTCCCCTCCCAGTGGCAGGCTCCCCACCCACCTGGCTCCTCCCTCCCCCAGTGGGGGAGTCATCACGTACCACTCCCCACTGCGGGACTCACCAGATCTCGACGAACCCAGAGGGAGCAGCAACCTCAGGCGCTCCCACTCGGCGTTTGACCTCTCTCAGGTGCGGGGGGAGTACGGGTTGTTGGGGGAGGGCTGGTGGTGGGAGAGGGCCTTGGTGCGAGGAGTTAGGGTGGTGGGAGAGGGCCTTGGTGCGAGGAGTTCAGGTGGTGGGAGAGGGCCTTGGTGCGAGGAGTTAGGGTGGTGGGAGAGGGCCTTGGTGCGGGGAATTCAGGTGGTGGGAGAGGGCCTTGGTGAAGGGAGTTTGGGTGTGGGAGGCTGAGGTTTTGGAGAAGCTGGGGCCGTGGGGGAGGGCCCAATAAATGGTATGTGGATGCGTGCAGGAGTCTAACCCTCCCCTTATCCCTCAGATTGGGGAGTCGTTGTCCCCAGCCCCGCAGCGGAAGGCGGACGCAGTGCACCCCTTGCCCTCTGCTTCGAGTGCCCTCCACAGGGGCATGAAGAACATGCAAGCCCTCGTACCCTCCATCGACCGCTCCATCAAGCCCCTGCAGTCCTTCGCGTCCAGGACCCGCCGGGTCAACGCCGCTAGGAAGCGGGACTTCGGGCCCATGAGTCGGGTGAGGTACCCATGAGGTCGGGTGAGAGGCTGACGTCACGAGTTGTACAAGAGGCTGACGTCACGAGTTGTGTGAGTTGTTGACGTCACGAGTTGTGTGAGAGGCTGACGTCACGAGTTGTGTGAGAGGCAGTTGTACAAGAGGCCTGTCTCTTATACACATCTAGATGTGTATAAGAGACAGCGTCACGAGTTGTGTGAGAGGCTGACGTCACGAGTTGTGTGAGAGGCCCACTCTTTGAACCATGAAGGTAATGAAAAGCTTGTTTTGCAGACGCGCTCTCACACCGGTCTCAAGAACCTGGGCAACACCTGCTACATGAACGCCATCGTGCAGTGTCTGTGCAACACGCAGCCCTTCGCTGCCTACTTTGTCGAGGAAAGACACACGTGAGTCGCCTCTGTAATTTGTGTGTTTGCATAGTTTGTGTGTGTCTGTGTATGTGGGCCGCCTACTTCGTCGAGGAAAGACACACGTGAGTCTCATGTGTAATTTGTGTGTTTGCATAGTTTGTGTGTGTATGTGGGCAGCCTACTTCGTCGAGGAAAGTCATACGTCTCTATCGTGCGTAGGCAAGTGTGGTTCTTTTTGAAACTATTTCATCTGAAGAGCATCAACAAATTGTAGATGCCCACAAAAAAAAATTGCTAGTTTGTGTCATACAAAAGCTTGTGATGCCCCCCCTGTTTAGCTTGTAACTCCCTCTGATGTGGACAGGGACTTTGTGAACCCCAACAGCCCCCAGCGGGGGGAAGCGGCCATCGAGTTCGGGGAGGTGGTGAAGGCCCTCAAGTCTGGCAAGTATCAGAGCGTCGCCATGAAGGACTTCAAGGTGGGTCATGCGGCAGGTGGGCAATATGGCAGGTGGGCATATGGCAGGTGGGTCGAGTGGCAGATTGGTCATGTAGCAGGTGGCAAAGGACATTGTGAGACAGGAGGCAGAGTAAGGTTAGAGGGCAGCGGGAACAATAACATTTATTGCTCAATAAGAAATGTTGTGCTGTTAACTCGACACTTGCGGTGTTCTGGTGACGAGGTCGTCGCGCCAGAGGAGTGATCCTTGAGGTGTGGTGTGTTGGTGGTGGTCATGTGTAATATGATGTGATGATATGTGGTGGTGATGATGTGTGATGGTAATGACGTGATATTTTCTGTGCTGCGCAGGCGATGGTGGGGAAGTACAACCCCGAGTTCCGGGGCAACGACCAGCACGACGCCCACGAGTTCCTCATGAACCTCGCCGACTGGCTGCATGATGACCTCAACCTGGTGGGTGGCTGCTGCATGATGACCTCAACCTGGTGGGTGGCTGCTGCATGATGACCTCAACCTTTCAATTTTTTAACTGGGATCACCTCTGTAATCTCATCATTAAAGGCAGTTAATTTATGACCTCGTACTGCAGGTGACGGAGCGGCGACCGCCAATGTCGGAGCAGAACCACGCTCCCAGTACTCCCGACCACGTGGCCGCGCAGGAGGTGCAGACGGAGATCGCCATACGCGACCAGAGCGTCATACGCAAGCTGTTCTACGGTTTGCACCGCAACGTGATCACGTGCCTCAAATGCGGGGCACGATCACTTACCTTCGAGCCTTTCTTCGTGATTACTTTATCTTTCCCCGCCAACGGACGGTGCTCTTTAATGGTCAGTAGTTGTGGGACTACAGTCATGATTATTTCTTATTATTTTTGGCATACATCTTGGTGGCGAATTTTGAAGTCTGCCGTGCACTTTAAAGTCAACATCTTCTCCTACTGATATGAAATGACACGAATTTATGTTTGTGTCGTGCGGCTAACAAAAATGAGCGCCTGTTGTGAATGGGGTTATGTCTTCACCAGCATCGCATTTCCTTCAAGCATTCCATACGTGCGGGGGTAAAAATTTCTGGTTAGAGCGACCTCTTGTTGGTTAGCGCTTCCTGATCAGGACGCTCCTCTTATGTTTGCAAGATGAAAATCAGCCAAATCTCAACTCCTTGCCAAGCCAAACTTTTAGAATATCAATAACGCGTCTTCCTCTCTTACTCACGCGTCTTCCTCTCTTACTCACGCGTCTTCCTCTGTCTTAAAGGCGATTTTGCTCTGAGAGGATCACGAGCTTGAGCTTCTTCGTAGAGAAGGGTGTGGTATTACGTGTAGTATGAGAGCGCCCTGTGTTACGTGTGGCGTTAGAGCGCCCTGTGTTACGTGTGGTGTTGGAGCGCCCTGTGATACGTGTAGTGTAAAAGCGCCCTGCGTTACAGGACCTGCTGCAGCACTACTACCAGGAGTCGACCATCGAGTACACGTGCAGCACTTGCCGCTGCCTCAGGGAGTCCGTCAGGAAGATGGACATCTGGGCGCTGCCACCTGTCCTCATCATCCACCTCAACAGGTGCGTATCTTGACCACCTCAACAGGTGCTGTTTCCTGACAACCTCAACAGGTGCGTGTCCTGACCACCTCAACAGGTGCGTGTCCTGACCACCTCAACAGGTGCGTGTCCTGACCACCTCTACAGGTGCGTGTCCTGACCACCTCTACAGGTGCGTGTCCTGACCACCTCAACAGGTGCGTGTCCCGACCACCTCAACAGGTGCGTGTCTTTGTTACTTAGCAATGCTATCGCGGTCCTCCTTCATGCAACGCTAACGCCCTGTTCCTCTCCCGTCTCCATGCAGGCGATGCTAACGTCCTGTTCTCCGCAGGTTCGAGCAGCGCGACTTCCTTATGACCAAGAACCCCAACTTCGTGGACTTCCCCCTACACCACCTCAGGCTCGACAAGTTCGTCGTCAACAACCCCACGTGAGTTCTGAGTGCTAGCAGACTGGTGAGTCCTAGGTGACGGCAGACCGGTGAGTCCCACACTCCTGAATTATTTAATAAGAATCTAGTCGTGGGTGCCTGTGTGGATGGTGTGCTGTGGTGTCTTGCTGTGGTACAAGGACACCCCTCGCTCCTCCACATCCCCCCCCACAGTGCCACTCATCCCCCTCCCTTGCAGGGATTCCAACCCCAACACGGACTACTCGCTGTACGCGGTATGTAACCACTACGGCACCATCGACGGCGGCCACTACACGGCCTTCTGCAGCTCGTGGCCGCCCGGTGACTCCTGGCACAAGTACGACGACCACGAAGTTTACGACCTGCCCTGCACCGGCGTCAAGACCTCTGCAGCTTACGTCCTCTGCTACCAGAGCTCCACCTACGTCACCCACAGCCTGTCCGTCTACTGATGGAGGACACGCAGGGGGACTGGAGTGCCTTTGGTTGCTCCCAGTCCCTACATTCACCACTCATTCATTATTTACCCACTTTTCTCACATTAGAATTTTGCATGTTCCTGGGTACAGCCTGCAGCTCTCCGACCTTATCAGCGCCTGTACACTCCCCCTTTTCAGGTGCCGGTGCAATATAGATTGTTTACGTGTCGTTACGTACGCCTTACGAATGTTATAGTGGTGAAATAATATTATTGTGTACAGCGATATAATTTAAGGTCATTAATAATTGATTATTATTATAATTACGAGTCATAATAGTTCGCCAAGTAGCGTGTACATAATAGTTGCCTCGTATGCATATATATATATCTTCTCTATAACCCTTGCAGCGCGGCAGGTTGTACAGTGTAAGCTTCTGAGTTCTTATTATTCCGTGCAATAGTTCCGATTGCCTCAAGTTTTGAAGGATTAGCGCTGCTTGAAGTGTTTGTAAAGGATTTTTATTACCCTTAGAAACTCTCTGGTTTGTGTCACTCTAAGTGCTCTTAACATCCACGTAGAGTATTGGTGGCGCTATGGGGTGAGCGGTGGGTGTTTGTTGTGGAACTTTTGTATGATACCCCGCAACCCTAACTAAACCACCCCACTTACACAACCCTACCTTTACTACACTACATCACGGTCACACTAGCTACATCACCTCCACACTACATCGCGGCCTCCACACATCTACTAGCACACTACACCACATCCACCGCCACCTCCTTCACGAAGCCCTACTTTCGGAGCCCCATCGTCGCCTCTGTCACAAGGAATCCTCCTTTTCTTAGCCGTTGCTAATTGTCACAAACTATATCATCAGCTGCGTAGAGTCTCGTAGTTTTGCCCAATATTGTTGTGTTAATGTCTATTATCACTCCGTTATTATTTGCCACGTGCTGCTGTTATCATGATAGCGTAATTGTGTTGCACCAGCGTCCTGTTACCTGTAGAGCAAACCTTCCTTATTTCGCCTTGACTTTATTTTTGCGTATATATAACCCCGCTCCTGATGAGGTTGACGTGATGACGTCACGCCATCAGCTGTTACGAAATTGTCGCCAGTTTAGACTTTTGTTAGACGGCGTTACGCCTTCACGCGTCGCTCGTGTCATGTTAATTAATTTAGTAACATGTCACATCCGGTGGGCAGCTACCACCCCTCCTCAGTCTCCTCTTGATTTCGTCGTATCGCTTGCGTTTGTGCATAACTTTATTTTTGTATGAGAGTTTAACGGGCGGCGCTGTGGCTCTTTCTTGCCTGGATTAAACTTGCTGCATCTGTCCCTTGTTTGCCTGGCTCCTCAGCGACGTCAAGTGAAGGTGAGCCTGCAACCAAAAAACTCCAAACAAATGCTCCTAAACGCCTCTGACCACTGAAGAGATGGAGTTTTATTTTGACACGACTGAAGATCTAACCGTTGGTGCAGTCATGTTTTTAAAGTGCTTGAGAAAGTTCTACTTACCTCTGGCTTAAGTCCAAACGTCGTAACAGTAAGCCCGTCGTCAACAATATATCGACGTCTGACAACTGGTTAGATTTGTACCCATGTGATGTTACTCTTACCTGATCATAACCTTCGAAAACGCTCATAAAATAAAAGTAAAAGGCTTGCCCATTTTTTACGTGCCAGGCTTCTCTTTGTCCTTTTTTTCAAGGCATGGTCCCGCTGGGCTATCTTTTTGAGGCCGTAGATCCGCGTCAGCAGTCAAGTTCTCCACACAAAATTCTATAGTTTGCCCTCACTGATTAATGAAAGTTTTCAATCACAACTTTTCATAAATAAATGGTCGTTCATTGCAGTTAATGATGGAGTGAAGTGAAGTCCTTGGGAATTGTGGGAATCGTACTCCAATGGATAAGAGATTTTCTAGTAGGTGGGCGACAACGTGTCAGTATTAACGGAACCGTGTGTGCGCAGTGGCGTGCCACAAGGAAGCGTTCTCGGGTCTGTTTTGTTCGTTGCTTTTACAAACGATCTGCCAGAAGCTGTGTCTAGCGTGTGGTCCATGTATGCCGACGACACAAAAGTGTATAATAAAGTGAAAAGTCGAATAAAGTGCAATTGCAAGATGATCTTGACAGTTTAGTTACTTGGGCTGATACGTGGCAGCTGCGTTTTAACGCTAAGTGTAAAAGTACTTCACCTCGGGAACAATGAACAGCAAGATTACATTATAAGAAGACAGTTGAAACGAGAGAGTAATGATTGAAGAGTCTAGCGTGGAAAAAGATTTTGGAGTTTATGTCGACAAGGAGCTGAAATTTTATATGCATATTGAAACGCAAACTAATAAATCCAACAAACTTCTTGGACTGATCAGACGCTCTTTCGAGTTCCTAGACACAGAAGCGATGAAGCAGTTGTTTGTTGCTGTAGTGCGCCCTAGCACCATAACGAACCCGGTGTAAGTCTAGTAGCTATTTCAAACTACCGACAGTTAAGAAAAGATCCGGTCGAAAAGCCTGTTTTTAGACCCCCTGTGGGCTGTGGACAAGTTACGAAAGGTATAAGACTCGGCGAAAGGCCACATCAGGCTTATTCTACAGCGCCGTTATCACTCAGCTTTTTTTCTGCTATGCTATGATTGAGCGCGGTCGCTTCCTAAAGCCTCTTTCACACAGGGCGTGAAATCCCGCCGGCGTGAAAAAAAACCGCCGCGGGATTTCCCGCGCTATCTTTCACACGAGGCGGTTTTTCATGCTGGAATCTATCAGTCTTGCAGCGCTGTTCTCCGTAAAAGTGGTCCTCAGTTTTTGTGAACTATATCTATGAATAGCAAAGAAAAGAAAGCTATCCTTTTATATTTGCTGCATAAAAGGCAGCAAAGAAATAAAAGGAGGTGCTGGGTTCACAATATAGTAAAATTAAGGCCACAAGAAGGTGAATTTGCCACTCTATTATGAAAATTAAGAGAAGTTGAAGTAAAATTCTCCAATTATTTTCGAATGTCTGCGAAAGTTTTGATGAAGTATTGTCTTGTGTGCAAGGCAAATTAACCCACAACAGCATGCAGATGAGAGACGCCGTGCCTGCTATTGAAAAACTGGCTTTAACTCTCACACACACCCTAGCCGACCCACTGTCTGTACCACACTAGGTAGCGGCGTGAAAAACCGCCCCGTGTGAAAGATTACATTGAATCCCATTGCAAGCTAAACTGGCGCGGGAAATCCTGCCGAACTTTTAGCTTGACACACGCGGTCGTCAGGCGTGAAATTTCACGCCGCGTGAAAAGCCGTCGTGTGTGAATAGCAGTGCACATTTCGTATGTCCGCTGAGGTTCGGCGGGAAATCCCGCCGCGGTTTTTTTCACGCCGGTGGGATTTCACGCCCTGTGTGAAAGGGGCCTAAGGCGTGAAGATTATTAAACCACCGAAGCGACACTTCTCTGAACTCCCCTGCAAGGCCTGCTGCTGAGAAAAAGTTGCGTCTTAAACTCCTGGGCATATGTGGGACCCTCTGTACTACCGCAAGGAAAGTTTGGGACAAAATTTCGAAATACCAGAAAACTTGCAGATTCGCTGATCCGCTTAAAAATTTTCTTCTCTGGACTTCTGATATTATATACAGATGATTCAGATTTTCTCCAATGTTCTAGGTGACCGGCAAAACTATATAAATTCAAAACAAGACGTATAATTTACGACATAATAATTGAACTACAACTGAATCTCGACGCTAAAAGATGCAGCAATTCACAAGTCGGGGAAATTACTTAGGCTCAGCGTATTTTACGCATAACTTAATTTGCGTAACTGATGACCATACAAGGAATTGCTTTGAAACTTTGCATACGTGCGTGTTTAAATGTTTATACGATATTCAATTTACGCGTCACCGTACTTTCAATCGTTGTGTTCTATAGACTTCTTGTTATATGTCATTGTCGACAACCATTCCAAATGAATTGCTATTGCATAACTGGTTTATTGTAAAACCATTTATGGTGCAGTTAAATACGATATCCTCACAAAACAAATTGCATTTCATTCAATTCCATAGTTCATAAATCAGATCTGATTTAATTTTTAAACTTCTAGAGCACTTTACATCGGAGCGTTAATTCTGTATTGCGGGGTAAACGATGACATTTTTGGGGGAAAATTTTGTCTGGGTGCAGTGCCTGGAGACGGCCGGTAGAGGGCAGTGAAAATCTGCAAGATTTGCGTCCTCGCGCAGGTATGGTGGCGTAAATAAACATATTTATTCTCTGTTTCAGTTTATTCTCGCTATATTTTTCTAAATTAATTCCTCAATCATAGTAATGTCATTGATGCCACGATTCTCCTACATCTGAATTTCTCTACTCAATCACTGAGTCTTCACCCTTCCCTCGACTCCTTTTTAGTTTTTGCCTGTCCCTGTCAAGTTGTTAAATTTTGGCTCTAATTCTACGTTTCTACTTGAATAATGTGACAAATTGTTTTATTTCTAAAGCTTTGCCTCTTGTATATAAAATTCATATTTCTCACAGTCACAGTTATATCTTCAAGATTTTACGTTTCACATTTAGGAAATGTCAGTTTCGTTCATAGGTACGTGACGAGTAGTCGAGTACTCGAGTAGGTAGTCTGTAGACTGTACGTACTCTGTAGTCTGTAGAGATTGTAGTGTGACAGTGACAGTGTGACACTGACTACATATTGTCGACTTTGTCGTCCTGATGATGACTGGTCGAGTGAACGTGGTGAGGCAGGTGAGCTGAGCGATCGTCCTCTGTAAGATCAAGTTAATATGAGGACAAACCTTGCGTGTTAGCTCCCTGAGCCTCCGTCGGCCATGCGGCATGCACATTATTTATACGGTTATACCTGATAAAGCAGGGCTGGGCCCCTGGCCCCCTGGGGTTCAACTTGAACCCCAGGGGCCAGTGTTTGTTACTATTACTTGAAGTTTTGAACTGTTCAAGTAATAGTAACAAACTGTGGATTTTTTAGAATCAGTTCATTTTTAATTACCTGGCTAATTTACTCACAATTTAGACCAATTTCTTATGGTATGATAATGCAGGTATCCAGTAATACCAGGATACTTTACTGGTCTACATATAGGACTCAAAAATGAATTTGAGGGAGAGTCTAAGAAACTCTCTGCTTTGCCACTATGGACTCACTGTCACTTCATGTAAACTCTTCAATTATTATGCCAATTCTCAAATTACCAAGTATGCTAATATAAGAAAAATGAAACTCTATGTCTAGCACTCTAGTGTCTACCTGTTAACCTGTAATCTGATTTAATATCATTAATTACTTTATTGGGCTGGAAAATTGCAAATGTGCTATAAATTTGTCACTTAGGTGCTGCAACGTTTCAGTAATAACTAATAAGGATTAAAATTCCAATCCTGGACTAGAGATTATGTGGAGACTGAATTTATTGATCTATTTTTTCTATATAATTTGGTTGCTAGTTAGCTACAAAGATAGCTATATTCTATATCTAGACTAACTGCTAGCCACGCATGCGACAAGTAGTCAAGAAGCAACCCCCCAACCAGGCGTGGTGAACAGGCGCAAGGCCTTTTACACTGAACTTATCAAGTATCGAGTATCAAGTAGTTCATGTAACTCTGTGTCCACCTATAGTCATAGTATGATAGTGACAAACCACAGATTTTTTAGTAAATCTATTCATTTCTAATTTCCCCATCAAATCAAGATTTACCACGTTAAGGGGAGCGTCTGGCCAAAATTTTTGAATTTTGGCTTTTCCGGTTTTTAGTCTCGTCTTAAAGCTGACATTCTGCTCTATTCAGCGGTACCTAAATCGTCTCTGTAAGTTGATTTATGCGTTCATGACAAATAGCGAAAGGGTGGGGGGTGGTGGAGTTCTTTCACATTTAGGATGGGCGAAAATTCCCGATAGCATACTTAAATAGCTAGTCCACATACGACGTTCTTCAGTTACCCGCCTGCAGTTGTGCGGGAGGGTTTGCGTGTCGTCGTTCACACCATCCTTGACAGGAATTGAGCTCCAGTATCGCCTAGTCTTGCATTCTTGCCACCTTGAACGCTTATTTCGAGGCGCCCAGGACTTTGTCAGGTTCTACTGAACAATTAACTTATTGTCACTCCAAACCTATCTCCTCCTACAGTTTTGAAGCTACAGCGATGAGACACATACCATTCGATTCACAATTGAAATATCTAAAGATTCGTCGTAGCTTTTTTTCAATTTCGTTATAGTTTTGAAAATATTTTGAAAAAAGGGAAGGGAAATTGGGGAAAATCTAAAAATTTTTGAAAATTTTGGGAAAAATGCTTCCACATCCACAAAAATTCGAAATTCAAAAAAATCTACGACGAATCGATAGATATTTTGATTGCGAATCGAATGGTATGTGTGTCATTGCTGTAACTTCAAAAATCTGGGAGGAGATAGATTTCTACAGTACCCCCTTTTTTGGCCGTTTTCTAAGAACTTATCGTTCTCTTTCATTTTTTTCGAAAAATGGACATGAATAAAAGCTGTCTATTTTTCGGTTTTACATATGTGTACCAAGTTTCAGAGTGATCCGTCTGTAAACAACCGAGATAAAATTTTGCCCAGACGCTCCCCTTAAGTGCGGCACAACCTACCGGTGAGTTGCGGGGCCTTTTTTCGGATAAATTCTGTAATTTAGTTTTTTCAATTGCGCTTGTTGACAAAAATTTATGATGGCAGTACAACCCTATTAAATTTTAAAAATCAGGGAAAGAAGGAAAATTTGATTTTTGCGCCGTAACCTACATATTTACTAGTATATTTTGAATTGTAGGCCTTTTTATCTGCAGACCTGGCCAATTTTATTCCATCTACTTGAAACGTGGGTTGTGCTGCACTTAACGTGTTAAAACATTATCTTATGATGATATTGCTGTTATAGTGGTATTCACAATACTTTACTGCTCTACTTATAGGACTCAACAATAAACTCTAGGAAGACAGAAGAGTCTAAAAACTCTCAGCTTTGCCACTATGCCTGTAGTTTCAGAAATTTAGCAGCAAACTTTCACAATAGTCCTGGGTATATTGTTCCCAGAGGCTGCTGGCCATTTTTGTCTGGATTAGAGTTTTTTTGCAACATGATAGTTTAACCTATCAAGCATTCTGTACTATACCATTTTACCATGATGCCCACAGGCCAGACAGTATATAAATATATACTTGTCCAATGTCCAGAATATTAGCCCTCCAGCTGGTTTAATTGGGATTTTTTTCTGTTGCTTGGTTAAAGCTTCCTGCCTCAGTGGTATATACTTGCATATGGGATAAGGACTTGCCAATGGAGGAGCCTCAGATTAAATATCATAATATTCAAGATAATTTTATTATAAGGTAAACAAGGGAATGGAAAATCAGAATTTGGTCATCTTTGACCCTTGGTCTAAATAGTAACATTTATTCAATATAAATTCAAAATTGTTATGAATAAACTTTGTTTTTTTTTTAGAACCATCATTATCTTTATAATAAGTTTATATAAATTTAGTTGCTTGTGTTTAATCACCCAATGACTCATGAGATGAAGCAGAGCATGGATCTTGATCTGACATACTGATGTACTATGGAGTGTGTATATACAATGTTTCTGTGCAATATATATATATATAATAACGATAATTGCACTTTACCGGACTACCGTCAACCGGGGCTACTCGGGACAATTTTGAACGTTTTTCATTCATAACTTCTTACCATGAAACATTTCAAAGCTCTTTGCAAGGGCTATCACATGGCTTCTCAAAAAAAAATCCATATGCTATTCGTAAGGTGCCTGAAGCAAAAAAAGTGTCCCGAGTAGCCCCGTCAAATGGGGCTACTCGGGACACTTGGAATAAAACTTCATTTTAAAACATTTGAAGCATGCAGAGTGTACTCATCCATTACTAACTCCACCTCTATGGTGATGTTCATCTTGACTTTCGGTGCGAGATAGCTAAATAGCTGAAGCGCTAGTAAACATTTGGCCACTAAACTAACTAACTGGAGTTTCTGTATGTTTGTGTTGAATAGTGCGAGCGCCCAGGCGGGGCTTTCATTGTAGATGATGTAGAGGTAGAATAAATGACATTTTCTGTGATTTTTACTTGTTTTTACTTTATTGATATGATATTACCGTATACATTAATCACCGTATTATTGATGCAATATTGCAGTATCCATGAACATGCCATTGAGCATTTTCAACATCCTTGACCACTGCAAGCTTGATATCAGCAGCCTTATAGCATTTTTTCTGTATCTGTAAGCTTACAGGACGGCTTGTAATTTCACACTACAGCAATCCCTTGATTAACTCGGTTAATAAATCCCCGAGTTTTACCATGTTAAGCAAAACCGCGCTAATCAAACTTAAGAATATATGGGAATAATTATAATGAATCCTCAATAATTACTTTTCATTCTATGATGCCTGGTGCACAATTCTATATATGACATTCTATGCACAATTTTGTGATGACCGATAATGCACTAATTTTTTGATAAGTGAAATTTTTTTTGCTGAGCAAGGTAAATGTAATCAATATTCATTGTTTTTAATCAATTTTTTATTTAACTGGAGCTTTTGCTAACTGAGGTTCTACTGTAAATGTGTTTTTGGGGGTGTCCCAAATAGCCCCGGGGGGCTATATTTTTTTCAACCCATTTTTTTGAGGGCTATCAACCCATTTTTTTGGGTTGAGGTATGTAAATTCCGCAGATAAAGTTTTCATGCTGACACTTGTCTGCAACTTTTTTCTAAACAAAATTTTTTAATATGGCAAATATTTTTTTTACTACAGACCTTAGCAGAAGTAACTTTTCACAATATCATTTTTCACCATTTTTTCAGGAATTTTTCAAAGCTAGTAAATGTAGTATTTTTGAACTTCCTTGATGCTACATAGATAGGAAAAAGTTTGACATTTACACCACTATATTTAGTTTTGCAATATTTTAATTAGTTCGGCTACTAAAACAGTTTTTCACCGTGTTGGAGGACTGTCCCAAGTTACCCCGCCTGTCCCGAGTAGCCCCGGTTGACGGTATGCTTATTTTTGGCCCAATGACGTAAGCAAAATTGTTAAAAAAAAGTAAAAAGAACTTAACCTGGCTGGACCTAGCCTTAGTAGAAAGGTGTCAAGCAACGTAAGAGAAATAAGGGTTTTATACTCACCTAACCCTAACTCTAACACTTACCTAATGAGGTTGGCGTTTTTAGAATGTCCGGTAGTGTACCTAGTTCATTTATTTTTGTGTCCGGTTTTTAAGTACAAACTAATTGCAGAGTTAATAACTGGACTTGATTTTGTCCGGTTTTCCAACCCCTGTCTGGTAATGTTTCCAATTTTGTCCAGTAATTGTTCGAAATTCTTATATATATATATATAAAATTCGTCAACATTGCTATTCGCAATGTATTCTTCAATTAAAAACTTCCTTCACCTCTTGATTCTTTCCTGGGCAAGCATAAAAATGTGCAAAAATTTGAATTTTTGGAGCCACCGAAAGAAAGTATGGACAATTATAAGAAATGTTTATTCATGTGGATTGTTTCAAATTTTGCATATATAGGCATTGGATTAAATTGCGCATGAAAGGTCTATAAAAGACAGTCATTAAGGAAAAATAATATCCATTTGAAAATTACTTTTTAAAGACAACACTTCTAAAGAATCTAGTGTCTCCGATGTTACACATGCACAATGAATTTATAATTTTATGTTCAAATAATAGAAAAAATTAATTTTCAACTTTTTTAATGTTAAAAAACATTGTATGTTCAAAATTATTTATTCTGTCATTTGTGTCAAGCATTGTCTCCAACTTTATGCAAGTGTGCAAAATTTCAGATCGATTGGACAGGTAGAAGTGTGTTGAATATTGATTACAAAATTAGTAGCAGACAAACAAACAATGAGAAGTGAAGTTTAAGAGAACTGTTGTAAGAAATAGATCTAGAAATAGAATAGATTACATTTGAATGTAATCAATCAAATGCAAAGGGAAAATATCTACCTGCAATTTGTTTTAATTTCCACATCTTAATTGTAATTATTCAAATTGATATTGCTTCTTCCAACTTACTAAAAAATACAGAAAGATAATCAATTATGTCGTCCAAGTTGAAATTTTCATTTAAATGCTCATATTTTGATTCTAGGGCATGGCAGGGCATAATGAATGGCAGTACAGATGATTGCTGATTGACTGAGGCATGATAACGTAGCCTCAAACATTAACCGGAGGACAAGATAGGATTTTTTGCAAGGAGATTTTAAGTGAAGATGGTAACTAGAGTGTTAGAGGCAATGATGGTTAGAATCAACTTCTGACTTGCATCTCTAAAATCAACCTTAAATGCTCAACAGTATTCAGTACAGGGTAATTGTGGTGGCCAAATAAGATGATCAACTTCATTAGTTCCTCATACCAACTTATAACAATTCCAGCTGTACGGATTGAGGCATTACCATCTTGAAAGATGGCATTCCCCTCCAGAAACAGTGCTCAAACCATTGGATGAAAGTTCTTGGTCCTCCAAAATTCCTAAACAGTCACAGCTGTGGATTTACAGATCCCTCGCCATGTTTTACATTTGGTAGGTGGCAGGTGGAATTAAATGGCTTTTGGCTGTCTCTAAATGTAAGCTTGGCCAGTGGTTGGAAATAAGTTAAACAATGATTCGTCAGAGAAAATATCATTTTTTCACTGCTTGAAGGACCAATTCTGGAGGTTTTTACACCACTCTAAATGCTTTGAAGCATTTGTATATGAAAGCAGCGGTTTTCTAATTGCAGCTCTTCCATAGAATCCAGATCTGTCCAGATCTCGGCAGACAATCTTTATTGAAACTGGGTTCTGTAGGTGTCCATTGAGGTCTGCAGTAATTTAATTGTTTCTAATGTAATGTGCAGGTGTTGTGTGTGGCCCAAGCTGTGCAGCAAGAACCCTGAACTGCCATACAAGCTGCTGCCCTGCAACCCGTGCCCTTCATCCACTGCAGCCCACACCCAGAATCCACAGCTGTCCTATGCCCAGCATCTGTTTCTGTCCACAACCATCATCCACTGCTGTTCATAACCAGCATCCACTGCTGTTCATAACCAGCTTCCACTGCTGTTCATAACCAGCATCCACTGCTGTTCATAACCAGCATCCACTGCTGTTCATAACCAGCATCCACTGCTGTTCATAACCAGCATCCACTGCTGTTCATAACTTGTCCACAACCAGCATCCACTGCTGTCCACAACCAGCATCCACTGCTGTCCACAACCAGCATCCACTGCTGTCCACTAGCCATCTAGATAAGTTCCTTGGTCCCTGCTAGCTTGGTCGTGCAGGGCTTGGTTGTAGCAGATGCTTGTGGTCAAAAGCGGAGCTCATCTTTATCAATCATTCTCAATTGAAGTGGTTAGCCATGCCTGCTTTTGTTGTCCACTTCTACTGAGTGAGCAAGGATAATGTTACAAATGATAGGCAAATGTGATTAATGTACTTTTGCTGACTGGGCAATAGTAAGAGGTTTGACATGATAGTTCAATGGTGATCATCATGTCGCAACAAAGTCATGATCTGTCAAGGTGCTGCTCTCATTGTGTTGGTGCAACTCAATGATTATACTGCCGTGTAGCTCTGCCAATGCTGTGATATTATCTGTTGTTCTTAATTGATCTCAGGAGCTACTGGCAGCCGAGTTCCTAACTAATCATCCTATCAAGACACTTGGTTGTGAGTAAATCAGTTGCTTGGTGGCGTCTCAGTGTATGGTCACCTGTCAGTTTCTTAGTCATCAAGGAGACATTGGTGCCAAGTTCAGTTCTTGATCTGTTATTTTCCACAAATATTTAAGTTCTTAGACTAAAATGCATAGAATTAATGCAACTTTGTAGGAGAAACGTTTATTAATCTTTTATTGGTAAGGATTGTTGTTGTTATGGTAATGCAAGATTGTTTTCGTCCTGTTATTCTTGTCTGGTCTTCAAATTCATTGCTACATTCTTGAGTGAAATTACTTTAGTGTTGCATCACTGTCTTGCAGTCGTTCCTGATGATAGTTCTGAATTAGTTGAAGGTTGTATGATCATTCCACTGCCCTGCCTGATTGTCATGGCAGCTGAGGGCTCTATTTTATCATAGTAAACTTTTCATGAATTCACATTGATCTCACTTCCTCACTGCCACTTTCACTGTTCATGGACTGCACTTAAATGTGTGACGACGAGCCACAACTACAGCCTGTATCCTCTCATTGACACCTCGTGAGTTGGAGCGCCAGGTGTTGTGCGTGGCGGTGTATACATCGTCAGGGCAGACACAAGACAAACAGTCTGCATCATCATGGCTCTCAATGGGAACGAGTCCCCGTGTGAGCAGCATTACTCGCTCAAGTGGAATGACTACTCAGTGAAGCTGGTCACTGCCTTCCAGTCCCTGCGAGAAGAACAGGATTTTGTGGATGTGACAGTGGCCTGTGATGGCCGCCAGTACAGTGCTCACAGGATGGTGCTCTCAGCTTGCTCACCGTACTTCAGGACCATGCTCAAGGTGGGTCATCCTTCAGCAACCATGCTCAAGGTGGGTCATACATTCTTCAGCACCATGCTCAAGGTGGTTTGTCATCCCCTGCAGTAGCCTGGGGTGCTCTCTGAATATTGCCTAGTTCTGATAGTGATAATACTTATTAGTGGTCATAATGCTTTTTGAGTAAATTCTGCTCTGGTTGCAGGCAAACCCATGCAAGCATCCGATCGTGATCCTGAAAGACGTGGGCTGCGCTGAGCTAGAGCGTCTGCTGGAGTTCATGTACAACGGCGAGGTGAACATTGCGCAGGACCAGCTTGCCGCCTTCCTCAGGACTGCTGAGAGCCTCAAGATCCGTGGCCTGGCAGGGGGCGGCGCCCCTACACCATACGATGAACACACGCGCCTTGTGAGTGCTCGTGGTGTCTGTGTGGTCGTGGTGCCTGTGTGGTCGTGGTGTCTGAGTGGTCGTGATGTCTGTGTTGACGTGGTGCTTGTATAGACATGTTGTTTGCATGTACCTTTTGTCTATGTGGACGTGTCTTGCCAACATGGACGTGTTGACAGAGCCTGCAGTGCAGCACCCCTCAGCTGTGCATAAATTAAAACCATCAAACTATGTGAAGCTTCTAATAATTGATGCTGCTCTGCTCCATAGAGAGTCTTCAGTATTGTTCTGTTCACAGATCTTCTGTTTTGTCTTGTGCATCAACGTGGTTTGAAAAAAAATTGCATATTATTTTTTTGGCTTTGGGTTGGCAAAGACCGGCATGTCAAATTTTTTGTGCCTTGCTGCATGATTAAAATTCGAGTTGCACCTGAAAGTTCGAGGATGTGATGCCTGCCAATGCTTAACTGCCTGTATGGCACCTGCGCTTTCCTAATTCTGGCTTGTTTTCTGCAGACGGAACAGCAGCAGTACACGGCAGCAGCTGCATGCCACCCTCAGCAGCAGCAGCTTCTCAGCAGCAGTGATAACCTCAGAGGCAGCAGCGTCCACCTGCCCCAACCACTGCCTAAGAAAAGGAAGCTCATCATGACTCAAGGTGATATGTGAACGTTAACCTGTGTCATGTGTAGGTTTATGTTGTGTGGCACATGCTACTTGTATGTTGTGTGGCACATGCTGCCGACATGACATTGCATGCACCTGCCACCAACATGACATTGCATGCACCTGCCACCAACATGACATTGCATGCACCTGCCACCAACATGACATTGCATGCACCTGCCACCAACAAGACATTGCATGCACCTGCCACCAACAAGACATTGCATGCACCTGCCACCTCAACGCTGCTGAGCCGAGAACTGAACACGACCTCACAAAGCTGCCATATACTTAACCTTAGTTCTAAATGCTGACAATAAATCTACCCAAGTCAGTTACCTACCTCCTGTCACAAATACTAACTCAAACGCATACCTATAATATCAGACGTGCTTGTAGTGTACCATGAGCTGATGTATGTGTCCCCAACAGACCACAGCAGCGACAGCATCAACAACAATGGCAGTGTCCACGACAACAGCAGAAGACCTGTGGAGCAGAGCTTGCACCTCACCGGTCAGAATCATTACCCAGCAACTAGATATCTTTAATTTACTATACCTAAAATCACATGATTGCAACTATATAATATAATATTTTATTGATCTTTTAAATATATTATAGTTCAACAAAGCAGTTATCGCGGCGCAGGGTTAAAACGAACTTTTATTGCATATTACACATAAATTTGAAAGAAAAAAATTTTTAGAGGCATAACTGATCTATTATTATATATTCATTCATATAGTCATATCTAATATTGTGGTTTATGACTAACTGAACTAAGTGATTGCATTATTTAAAGCCACTTAATCGTAGTTGATTCTAGAAGTATTGCTTTGGCGTTAATTTATAAATAATTTAATTCAATAAAATAACGACGCCCTGCAGGCACTGATGTCAGTCTGCTGCCCCTGAAGCTCGAGCCTGCAGACTGTGAAGCTGATGACTTCCCTCCTGACAGAGGAGACCTTTGTGCCCTGACACTTCTTGTTGTGCCCTGACACTTCTAGTTGTGCCCTGACACTTCTAGTTGTGCCTTACACTTCTTCTGGATAGATGTGAGAGTACATGTCAAGGTTCTGGTTTAGGCTGCATTGTACGTTGCTGACGATGTTGTGTGTGCAGGTGCTGACAGCACAGCTGGGGAACCGTCAGCACACCGCTCTGCATCGCCTGACGCAGGTCAGTCTCTGTCGGGGAACTGTTTGATGTTTTCTCAAGCTCGTCAATTCTGATCACTTTTGCTTAGATGTGTTAGTCAAGTGTGTCCCAGAGCGTCATGGTCTGTCGAAAATAGTTGCGGGTTGACTTCTTCAGCCAATCAGTGAAGGCTTGTCAAGCTAAACCCACCAATCACAGAAGAGAAATAGGCCGCGACATGTTCATAGGTGGCTTTCTATACCTAGGCTGCTATCTATATTTAGGTCGTTACGTGTACTTTGGCCGTTACGTGTACTTGGGTCGCAATACGTGACTAGGCGCTACGTGGAATTGAATGAGTTTTGATATTAGGGTCTGCATACTAGCGTCGTCGCGTTCAGTTCTGCACGCAGCTCGAAGGGCGCTGGCAGCTGTGTTGTGATTCATGGCGGTGCCGTTGTGGTCACGTCATGTGTGTGCTTCGGGTGACTCCTCGGTGGATGGCTCGAGTATGGATGACCTGAAGTGTTATTAGCTGCAGCTCTTATTTGGTGTTCCGCCATTGATGCTCTTCTTGCTAGTATGCCACTTATGTTCATCATTAGAATGTTGACTTGTGAGTGTTGGAATTGCTTGTGGTGCTGGTAGTGATGTATGGTGCAGGCTGTGGAGTGTGGTGCAGGAAGCACAGTGGTAGTCGAGAGTGTGGTGCAGAGGGTGGTTCGCTACACTAGTATTGGCGTGTGGTGCTGGTAGTGGTGTGTGGTGCAGGCTGTGGTGCGGGACCATTACTGACGTGGTTGCTTGTCTCTCCACCCGCAGTTGCTGGTTGCGAGGCCCTCAACCTGTCCGTGAGGCCTCACCTCCGCGCCTCGCCACCGCCACACCAATTCCACCACACCGCCGTGCCTGAACAGCCTCACCTCGCGTCGCCTCATCACGAATACTTGCACCATCATCACCAGCGTCACCACTCAGCCCCTGGAGTGGTGCGTGGCATCACCACCACCAGGTTCTCGTCGACGATGCTGTGTGATGTTGGGGTGCCACACGGTCGTGATGACGCATCACACCCAGCATCTCGTGATGAAGCGTACCGCTGTCACAGCATTGGCCCTGCCCCCCGGGATGTGGACAGCGGCCCATACCACCACCAGGCCCACCATCATCCCACCTCACCTCCGTCCCACAACGGCATCGTCGTGGGGTCCCCAGAGGGAGGGGCGCCGTACCCTGTGAAGCTCGAGTACCTCGGCAAGCAGGAGCGCCTCGACGCGGAGGAGGACAGCATGGACATGGGGGGTGAGGCTCAGGAGGACCATCTCTTGCATGCCTCTGGTGGTCACGACATGGAGGACACAGCCGCCCTCACGGCTATCACTACCATATTGTCCGCTGAGCGACGAGGCTCTGCTCGTCCCCAGACCGTCCTCAACGGCGGCCTTCTGGAGGACTCGAGCCGGGGACGTCGTATTGTGGTGGGCGAAGTCGGATCTGGCAGTGGCGACCACAACCACTCGAGCACCGGCAGCGGCGAAAACAACAACACTAATGGCGGGAACAACCACACGAGTGGCTACAGCAACCACACGAGCACGAAGGTGTACCCCTGCTCTGAGTGCGCTAAGGTGTTCCGCCACCCGATGTCACTGCACCACCACCGCCACGTGCACCGAGGCACCTACACTTGCCACTCCTGCACCAAGGTCTTCAGCAGACGCTGGGACTTGCACCGCCACCTGCACCGCTCCAAACTCGGCTGCCGCAGACCTATTGCCACCTCCACCACCGCCACGCCTTACGACACCACCGCTCCTGCAAACTGTCTGGTGGGAACGTGCAGTCAGGACGACCATCCTGTCGAGGAGGGCCCTTCCAGTGGACTGTACTTGGAGCTTAAGACCACCCCACACAAACTGGCTGCTCACCACCGCCCTAAAATAACAATAGCTGGGGATCTCATCTCTCCCCCCGTGCCCCACTACGACACCCTCACTAATGGAGGGCAGCTGTACACGAGAAGATCCATCAAATCCTCACCGCCATCTTGCACTACCCCGCCATCTTGTTCACCGCCGCCGCCGTCATCTTGCGCAGCTTCTAGCGCCCTCTTGGTCAGCCCAGCGACGGGCGTCAGAACCTTCCCTTCTCCGCGCTTATAACTTTCCCTTCCAGCCGCCTGTGATAATATTATTATAGCTTGTATTATTATAGCTTATAATATTATTAGAGCTTGTAATGCTTGCCACTTCATTATTGTTTAGCTTGTTATGCTTGTTGCGAGGCCGCGCCCTCTGAACTGCTTCACCGACTCTCACCTGTGAGGCCGTGTCAGCTGTACCATGTCTGCACAACCATGTCTGTAATACCAGGTCTCTCTACCAAGTCCTGCTGTACCACTAAGCCAGTTGACAAGTTAACAGACGTTCACTTGTCAGCTGAGTGCGTCATCAGCACGAAGTGCGTGCCACACACACACAATTAGTGCTTCAGTTGAGATCGTCAGGAAGAGGAAGGAAGCCGCCGTTGGAGGGGCCTCATGAGTGCTGGCAAGTGTCAGACTAAAGAAAGAGATTTAACATGGTTAAATCTCTTTCTATACATATTGTCATATTAAAAATGTCATATTGTCCAAATAATGTTTTTACACAAAGCTCTAACAGAGAGCGGACGTAGCACTGATACGCCCCCTTTGATAGGCAAAATTGGGTCAAAATGATACACACACAGGGCAAAAAAGTGCATCGCTGTTTGGACCAAGTCTGACTCATTTCTGAGCGCATACTCGGTGCCATTATATCGCCGTCAAATTACGCAGCCTGACGAGGGCTAAGCTCTGTGCTGCTCCCAGGTGGAGACTGTCCACGCTCAAGCTTCAGCAACGTTAATCTCGAGTTTCCCTTAACCGCAATTAACTTCGAGAACATTTTATTTATTATCAATAAATTTTCTGGGTAAAACAGTCCTGCCAAGCTCAGCTGTGGAGCCTCGTAGTTAAATCTTTAGAGACGTGCATCACGCTTGTTGTGGCTGACAAGCTTGTCTTAGTGGATGACCATTTGCTCGCTCAGGCAGTTTCTTAAAGAAAGTTCTATGTTGTGATCCCTCCCACACCTCGTTCCTTGTTCATACCTTATATCCTAATTGCAACTTTAGGACGTCCTTGTCATTGGTCACGCTGATACGCCGCTTTTTTCGTCCTCCGCCCTCAAGCCGTCGATAGGTCGGTCTCCCCGTCCTCGGGTCCTGAAGGTAACATTGAACGTGTTCCGCCTATCTGCCCTCATTTGAGCCAGCAAACGCAAGATGCTGTTGCTTGCTACTTGCCGCTTGCCAAGAGTAGTGCGGCATAACCTGACAATCCGGGATCTTGCTCAAGAACACATCCAGTCGCCTCCTAAAAATCGCATGGGTGAAGCCCCCCTTCTCTCAGCTCCATCGGCAAGGCATTGAACAGCCTCGGTCCCACTAGAGAAAGAGGTCCATACCGAAGAGTAAACTCTTGCCGCAGCTCGGTCTGCAAAGTCTGCCTCTCACTGCGTTGTGATATGTCGCTATCCTGAATGTCTCGCTTTCAAAGTTGAGGGCCTGTCCGGGTAGCATCTTCTATCAAGTGTGCACTATTGTATACCTTGCTTTTACCCTCTCCGGTGAGCACAGTCCCAGGTGTTGCAACCTGCCCTTGTAGTTCAGCTTTAGATGCCTCATACCGCTGATCCTGGACGTGAAGGTCCGTTCGACTTCCTCCAATAGCCTTACCGTACTTGCATCAAGTGGCGCCCCAAGCTGGCAGCATTACTCCAAAATGGGGAGCACGAGGACGTTTAAAAGTGTAATCATGGGCGCTTCTCAAGTTCGAAATACCCGCCAGAGTTACCGCATCTGTAGTCTTCCTTTCGCAACTATTGCCGCGCTGTGGTCGTCAAAGGTAGCTTCAGTATTCAACACTCCGAGATTACGAACAAGTGGCTTCTCCTCAATTTCTGCGCAGTCTGATGCTAAGTAACTGTGCAGCATATCACATTACTTCGAACTTGGTGCCGTTGAATTGCATACTATGCACTAGGTCCCAGTCATAGATTGTCGAAAAGTCATCCTGTAACCTCTCGCAGGCCATGTCTATGATTCTCATCAGCACTCTTGTATCGTCCACAAAAGATGATTAGAGCCCGATTTCGGCGATGCGGATGATGAAGATCGGGCCAACCACCGAGAATTTATCAAAAAAGCTTGAGCAAAGTCCTGGGCATATTCTTTCAAAAAATTTAGAGATCGTAAGTTCATCAGCCAACAATTGACTGCCTATCGAGTAAAATCCACCAATCATAGACAAGAAAATAGGTCGTAAGTACTTACGTTCACTTAGCGAGTTTTGAAAGTATGGCCCCTGGTATACCACATCTACGCCAGCTCCCTCCTCCAGCTGGGCCACAAGACGGTAATTGTGCTCCAGGAACTGATATACAAGAACAATTTCGTCGAAAACCATATTTATTATGCAGTTCAGCGTCCTCCTGGCCACCACCTCCTTAAAAACCTTGATCACATGTTAGGTCAGGGTCACTGGTCTCTAATTTTGGGCTGTTTTCCTCTGGCCTCCTCTGTGGGTTGTGCGTTATCAGTCCCACTGTGAGGCCCTCAGGGACAATTCCCTGCATCTACGAGGCTTTAGGTGCTTATACACGGGACGATTAGTTATGTCTACTACAGTTTTGCAGGCTGAGAGCCTATAAACGAGGAGAGCGTTTTTAGTACAGTGTGCCAGCGCCAGTGCGACGTTGGGAGTTGTCGAGTAAAGGTGTGGACGGTGGAGGCAAGCGAGAGCTGTAAAGCTGAGCGCGCTACAGTGAGCAAGAGAGAGAGCAACGTAGTGGTGCGCGCTAAGACGGCCGAGGCTGCACTGGGCACGCTAGACTGCTTCAAAACAACTCTAGTTGCTCTGCGTGCAATGCAACAGCTAGTTGCCTATGAACACGTCAATCATCACAAATTTTAGTTGCGTCGACTAGTCGACGCAACTATTGCGTCGATTGCACCTTTTCCATCAGAGCATTGTGAGAGGAGCTTTTAGTGCTCCAACACACTTTTTCGTCAATACCGCCGGAATTCCATTCGGTCCTGGTGCTGAAGACGTCGCCAGTTCTTTGATACTTATTTCCATATCGTCAGGTCCAAACTCGATGTTTTTCCAACCCCCTTCCACCCAGCAGCTCCTGGAGAATTTCAACTTCATTCGCCTCCCTTGAGTAGCGGGGCTACTGAACACCGATTCAAACTGCGATCCCGGTATAGTTCTCAAATGCCCTGGTCATCTCTGACTCGGACAATCTTATCCTTCAGCGGGCCCACTGGCGTCTTTATTTTAGCCTTAGACTGGCGGTATTTCAAGAAATACTTAGGGGTTCTCTGGTGACCTCGAAAACTCGCTCCTCAGCAGCTAGTTTCCCCGTCCTGTGCGAGTCGCGTTGCGCTTGCCAAGCATGCCTCAGAACTGGACCCCTGAGCAGCTAATGCAGCTGCTCACTGGGCACTTGCTTCAATCATCTTAATAGCTTACCGCTAAAGTCGGGGATAATTGTAAAGCTAAATTCTAACAAAAAGCTCCGAACTTTCAGTATATTTATATTTAACTATTACATGGTAGACGACAAACTTCGCCTCAAGGTTTCGCCATTTCACTCAGAAAAATGAGAGAGACTTTTCCTTTTGAAATAGCGATGCACTTTTTCCCCATATTTTGGACGTCCTGACACAGTTGGGCTTGGTAAGAGAGTGTAGCAGTGCTTCACAGTTGGGCTTGGCAAGAGTGTAACAGTGCTACGCTCGCCGCGCGTAAAATGGTAACTGGCAACCGTGACAAGGCGTGTGGGTTGCCGGCTTGTGGCAGTCGAGCTTGAGTGGCTACTGAACGGCCCACCGCCAACTGCAACCTTACCACCAGCCAGCTCACGTTGATATAAATAAACGATGTTCTCATGCACTAAGCCAGTAATCAATGTTTTAACATCATTTGAATGGTGGGTTACTACAACCACAATACCGTCTCTCGATAAGTTGAATTGCTCATTGACGGGACGTTGCTTCTAGCGGTGCGGGGAACGCGTGCTGGGTTCTGTACGCGGTTTAGCTACTAACTCACTAGTTATCTAGAGGTGCCTAGTACTGTTAACTAGTTCTACGCTGTCATGTTCTCAGTAGTTGCTCATTCTAACTAGTGCATCCGTTAACTAGTTCTATGCAAGCCTTTATCTTTGTAGAACCATAGCTCTCTTGGTTACTAGGCATCATATACATCTCACTCTAGAGCGCCTGCTCTCGTTGACTAGTTCTAATTATTATGCTATATTCGACACTAGTAACCTAGCGTCTAGAGGAGTTGCCAGGTCTCTAGCATACACGCTAGAAAATAGGGCAGCCGTTTCCAGCTTTTAAAGCTAGCCTAATACTAAACGTTAAAACGTATAACTTAGAGCTCTTATTGCCTAGCCTCCTGAGCAATATTTGTCTGAAGCAATCCACGAGTGCAATACTAGTAACTAGAGGCCATATACTTGCGTATACACGCCACTGTGGTTCATATACTAGCGTATACACGCCGCTGAAGCTCTTATACTAGCGTATACACGCCACTGTAGTTCATATACTAGCGTATACACGCCACTGTGGCGCCTTTCACATGCCACATGCTGCCACCATCGACACATTCATTACGGCATGTAGAAGCTGTCAACCTACTATAACAAGCAGCAGTTATTTTCAAGCAGAAGCGGGCGATTTCGGTTCGATCGCTCGCTGCCAGGTATCATTTTGCCTTCGTATGGCATGGGCGTCTTATTAGCAATTTTCTATCAGATCATCAACTTTACAATTGCAAAGTACTTGCTTGGTTCTGTTCCCATTAGGCTCAGCACTCGTTCATTTCGTATAATGTTAAGTAATGTCGTTAATAATGTGTTGAAGGTGATGTTTGATCTCTAATGTAAGCGATGTGATGTTTCAGTTCCTATATCCTGCCATAATAATGCCCTCACGCTGCCTTCTGGCAGACTTTCCCCTCACGCTGCCCTTTTGACAGACTTTCCCCTCACGCTGCCCTTTTGACAGACCTTCCCCTCACGCTGCCCTTTTGACAGACCTTCCCCTCACGCTGCCCTTTTGGCAGACCTTCCCCTCACGTTGCCCTTTTGACAGACCTTCCCCTCACGTTGCCCTCTGGCAGACTTCCCCTCACGTTGCCCTCTGGCAGACTTCCCCTCACGTTGCCCTCTAGCAGACTTCATCTCTGTACACAATTCCGCCTTGTCTCCGGAGCTCAAATTCGTTAAGGCGTTCACTTGTTTTGATGAGCCACCCCAGCCGCCGTCGCACTCCTGAACTTTACCAACTCCAACCACTTACACTGAACCTTATGAACTGAACAACCCACTCCCTCTACTGAACCCTTGCTCCCTGTACTGAAGCCCCCTATCCTCCTGGGCTGAACCCCCACTCCCTTGAACTGAACCTCCACTCTCCTGAACTGAACCCCCACTCCCATGAATTAAAACCCCCACTACCCTAAACTGAACCCCCACTCTCTTGAACTGAACCTCCACTCTCCTGAACTGAACCCCCACTCCCATGAATCTGAACCCCCACTCCCCTGAACTGAACCCCCACTCCCCTGAGCTGAACCCCCACTCCCCTGAACTGAACCCCTCCTTTCCTCCTGAACCAAGTCCCTACTGCGCCAGGAGGGCCGCGCGGTTCCTCCGCAAGCGTTCCTTTAAATTCTTCATTAATTTTAATAAATATTCCTAAGTTTATTTGCGAGTTAATTTAAGATTTGTTTGGTGCAGATTTCGGTTTAAGGTTGAGCTGCCATTGTGATCTTAGCGTGAGGTAGAGTTCTCGCTCACTGCCGGTCTTCTCTTCTATTCAAGTTTGTGATTATTTAGTTGTCGCTTTAGGGGAACTTGTGATGTCTGAGCGCATGACTTACTTTTGGTATGTTCGTTGAAGAACACAATACTTACATGTCAATTATATTGCAAACGCTCATACGTTTGTACGTCAATCCCAGTCTTAGTTCGTTGGATTCCTCCTGATGAGGCGGGACGTCAGGAAGACGCATCACTTACGAGACATTGAAGTCTCGGGACCTGCACAGGGCAGGGGCGTGCGCTAGTGGGTTGCCCTCCGAACCAATGCGGTGTAGGTAGCTGAAGTGTGGCGTTGGTGGGTTGCTCCAAGCTGTACTATCGATGCAATGTCCGCCGCAACTCCAATCGCTCCTCTGAGCTGCAGTCCATATACGTTGTACAAGTGATGTTATGACGTTACCTTCCAAGATCTCTGGTATTTTTAGATGATAGGACTCATTGCTTAGACATTATGCTTACTGCTAGACATGCCTTGCTGCTTTCTTCATATATATAGTGCCTGACCTTGCGAGCTTCACGCCTGTGCTGCTCGCTGCGTCCGCTCAGGAGCTTCTTTCTCGGGACATTGTTACAGTGATCGTTAGTGCTGTGACGATCCTAAATGTGTTTTTAACACTTCGTGATGGGCCATCTGTGTGCGGATGTTAACTCAGTTTTTGGTGGACTGTGCCTGCGGCCTAACCGAACAAAATTTAGAGCCGCCCCAGCTTCTTACCAGAAGCTGATACGGCCCTAAATTTTGCTCGTACTATGGGCCCGACATCTGGTAGCGTCCTGCTCAGGATAGAGCGCCAGTTCTGTATTATGGTCATTAATTACGTCCGCGTGGTGGTATATGACTGATGAAATTTCCTTATTTTCCTCGAAGCTGATTGTTTTGTTATTTTATTATTGACTAGACGAGACTTGTGTTGTTATGAACGTAGGGGCGAGGCTTAGTAAGTGGCCGAGGCTTGGTAAGCGGTTGACTGCTGTTGCACTCAGTGTCATTTTTTTACTACTATAACTGAAATGTGATTGAGATAATTAAATTGTAACTTGTATAGCGTGAGTGAGCTTGAAAGTAGTTACTTGTTATGAAAGCTTTGCTCGGTAATTTTAAACGTGAAGCAGACTCGGCTTCAGAAGCCGTCTACTAAAGTGCACAAGGCACGATGAAGTTGTTATCTTTTATTGTATTGTTGACATAAGTAATTAGTTGTATGCATTGGCCATCGTTTGAGAAGACTAGCGCGCTGTGTTATCTTAAGTTTACAGGTGATGAAATAACTAAACGTTAGTTGCCATGGTATCCAGGCTGTGTAATACTTTTGCTAGGTCCTTTACTCTTGCCCCATACGCGAACCATCTTTTGGTTCTCAGT